GAGGGAGAGGGAGAGGGAGAGGGAGAGGGAGAGGGAGAGGGAGAGGGAAAGGGAAAGGGAAAGGGAGAGGGAAAGGAGGCTAGAAATAAGTTAAAAAAAAAACACAGAGAGCTCCTAAAAACCTCCGTAGCCTCTACTGCTGTAAATTAGAGCCAGAGCTTTTGTTCAGAAGAAGTCAGTGTGGAGGTTGGACTGGGGTGGAGAGAGATCCAGGTTCTAGTCCATTCTTGGCTATGGAAGCTCAACAGGTGATTTGGGGCCAATCACTCTCTTTTTGTCTCAGCCCAACCTATTGTGTAGGGTTGTTGTGGGGCAAAATAGGACTATGTACACAGTTTGAGCTTTAGAGTGAAAGACAGGGTACAAATCCAGTAAATAATAATAACTGTTTCTCAGACAAGTATTTTATTACTGAGTCAGAAATAGCACTAGCAGCCAACAGTTAGGTAATATTTTAGCCTTCTCTTCCAGTTCAATAAGGACCTTCAGCCTAAGGATAATCCAAGCTCAAAGCTTTATCTTCAAATGTACCATAGTTCAAAATCAACCAACAGTTCCTCTAGAGCCTCTGAGCCTGAAGGTATGGATTCATCCTTCAGCAAGAGGAAAGAAGGAAGATCCAGCAAACTACAGACCAGTTAGCTGACATTAATACCTGAGAAAAATCTAGAGCAGATCATTTAGATACTGATCCCAAAGCACCTTGGAAACAATACACTAATTACTAGAAGTCAGCATGGATTTGTCATGAACAATTCTTGTCAGACTCGCCTTATCTGTTTCTTTTTCAATTGGATAACTTTCTTAATAGATTGTGGGAATGCAATAGGCACAATATAACTTGATTTCAGCAAAGCATTTGCAAAATGCTCCATGTCATGATGATTAGCAAGTTAAATGTGGGCTGGATGGCATGATAAGTAAGTGGATGCAGAGTTGGCTCAAAAAGCATATTCAGAGTGCTCATCTATGATTACTTTTCAATAGAAGTATAATTTGCAAATCACAGGAAGTTCCGCTCTATTCTGCTTTTGGTCAGACTCCTTAAGTAGTGTGTTCATTTCTGGGCACTACATTCAGAGAAATTGGAACAGGTTCAGAGAAAGGCAAAAATATGACCAGGGTACTAGAATCTGTTCTCTTTGGTTCTAAAGCACAGAATGCAGAATGAGTTTAAGTTACAGGAAGCCCAGTTTTTATTGAATATTAGGGAAAAAAATCCAAAGAATTTCACCATTTCAAAGAAGGGGCTGAAATCTGGAAAGTGATTTCTTAAACTGGCTTCATTTCTATCTGATCTACATGGTTTACACAGTGGGAAAGCCCTAAGGCTAGACCACAGGGCCAGATACAACATTGGCCAAATGGTTGAAGCTGCATCGCCACACCATTTTCATTTTTCCTAGCCTCATAGCTGGACCAATTAGCTACTGCCTTGGGAGCACACAGTCCATGAAGCAACAGAGCAGCAGCCCTCTCATTGGCTGGTAGCGGATGGTCAATCCCACTCATTGCTAGCTCAGGGAATCATCCCATCCTTTAAAATAGCACGATATCAACTCACTGGACAGCACAGCACTGTCAGGCATGCAGGCTGAGAAGGATGCTTTGCCGAGGGTGGGCAAACAGCAGCAAGGAGAAAGTGACAGTGATGCCCCTGGGAGGGATTAGTGGATTCATCTGGTTAATCTGATAGACAGTTGTGAACAAAAAGGGTGTCCCTTTACAGACTACCCCCTCAGGCTCTCTGTTTGAAATCTGCCATGCACATTCCTGACAAGACAAGCCTTTTCCCTTATCAATGTAATCCTACTCCATCTCAAAACAAAAAAGTTAGGATGTCACTTGGATTTTTTATGAGTTTGAACAACTTTTTCTATATTCATAAAAATCTAGTTTTCCTACTGTATATCCTTGTTTGGATAAAACAAAAATGTTATGGGCACTGTAAAAATTCACCAGGTTTTAAAACAGTGTAATTCAAACAATGTTATAGTGCACCAAACTCTGTGGCATTTGGAAGTCTAACTTTCCTGCATCCCATCCTGTTCTAATTTTTAAAATAAATAGAAGATAGAGATAGAGATAGAGATAGAGATAGAGATAGAGATAGAGATAGAGATAGAGATAGAGATAGAGATAGAGATAGAGATAGAGATAGAGATAGAAAAGATTTTTTTAAACTTTAGACTTGGTCTTTCCCAACCTGCTACTGAACTGGGAAATGAGTTGAAATTGATTATTTCCAGAACAACCTAATCAGATAGGCTGTTTCCAAAGTCCTGGACACATCCTTGTGAGAACATCTGGCAGGCTTTACACAACCCTTCCCTAAACTATAAATAACAAAATGAATCAAGTTTCCAAATACAAAATGGAATGATCTTAATAGCCCAATTCTCAGTACTAATTCCTTAAACAGAAGAAAGCAAAATGGAGTGCAAACTGTCAACAGGCACTGCTAATTTACCTTAAAATTACACCATAGTACATTGGATTCATTCTTTTGTTGCTAGAAAACTTGATTGTTGTTGCTTTTCTTGCATTCTAATAGCTGTCTTACCAGAGTGACTAGGAAACGTCAAAATCTACCAAATATGACAGTTTATCACATAAATACCCACTTTCTGAGTGAGTGAGAGAGGAATTTGTAGGAATGGTTCATAATCTAGATCCACATAAAAGTAAACCACAAACAAGTAATTTTGAAATTGAATGAAGTTTGAGCACTTTTAATGACTGCTTCTTGGATGATTCCTGAGTCTCCAGTGTAACTTACCCACACCACTGGTCTCCACGTCTGACTCCCAGATGATTTGAACATCCCCAGTCCGGTGTATTTTCACCAGCCGAACACGATACTGCTTGCCTGGCTGCAAATCTGGAATGCTGTATGAGCCCTGGCCAGAACTGGCCTTTCCTACATCACGCCATTGTCCTTTGTCTGTTTGAAAAAGAGGAAGAGACAGAAGGGCTATGGTTGAGTTCTCCACTGGGTTAAGCCAGAATGTTTGCCTTTGATTTTACTCCAGTGTCTGTTGGGAATCCAGCCATTTGTAGCTTATCTTTTGCCATGGATGAACACACCATTCTTCATTACTCTTCAGCTAGCTGATGGAAAGTGGACTTTGCCTCTCCCAGGACTATGTTGAAAATCATGGATTTCCTCATTAGGAAACTAGGAATTTACAAGCAGAGGCCTTGGAAAGGAAGAAACTCTTCCCCTTCCAACTAGCAACCACTTGCAGATCACTATTTTCCCAACATGTAAAATCAGCAGTTTCAGCAAATCTGCTGGCCAGGCAGGGAGAATTCCTCATCCCTCCCAAAGATGTTGTTTCAGATGACTGGGAAGTAGGGAGAAAAGAACATTAAGAAGAGACCTGATGGGTCAGGTTGTAGACCCATCTAGACCAGCATTCTGTGTTACACAATGGCCAACTGGATACATTTGGGAACCTCACGAATTTGGAGACCTGAATAGGATGGAAAGGGGGTGAGTGTGTGTGTGTGTGTGTGCCTGCATGCATGCATGCATACCTGCAGCAACAGTGTATGAGAGGGGAAATGTGTCAGGATGGGTACCCGTATGTAGGGATAGTGTGGTAGAATGTATGTGGTGTGAGGTGGTAGTGAAAGAGGATTCTGTAGGGAGCATGCATATATGAACAAGTATAGTCCCTAAACCAGAGTGAGTGATCTACACAGCTTTTCAACCCCAAAAGATGCCCACCCACGGCTGGCATAATGGCATGGAGACAATAGTGGAAAGAGGAGTTCCACCTCCCTGCTCTTACCTGTTTTGCTCATAACGTGGACTGCAAACTCCACATCTCGCTGGTTCTGACGTGGGATCCAGATGATGGTGGTGAAGTTTTCTCCTGTCTCACCCACACTGATGTTTACAAAAGACAAGTTCACTGGGCATAGAGGCAGGGAGAAAATGAGAAGGAAAAGTATTAATATCACAATGACTTCTCTTGAGAATCTACACACCACCTTAAGCTCCAGAGGGAACAGCAATGTCATTAAGACTGCGGAAAAAGCGCTGGATTAACTATATTTCCACTGTTGCTTTGCTTTCATCATTTGCATCTTTCTAAACAGCTCACACCCAGGCCTTCTAGAGCAGATGTCCTTCCAGCAGAAGTCCAAGTAGCTCAGTATTGCAGTCTGGAAGAAGTGGGACTTGACACTCTTAACTGGAGGGTGTCATGGGACAGAAAAGGGGCTTTAACCCCTGTCACATGCTTCTGTGCAATTCATGCCCTTGCTAGAACACTTGGTAACTTCTAGACCTGCTCCTCACATCCCTCAGAATGATTTCTTTGAGCTGGCTTCCTGGTTCCGAGTTTTCCTCATTTAGAAACTGCCAAAGGTTTTGTTTGGGGGGGGGGTATTTTATTGATGGAAGAAGCAGCAACTGGTCATGGTGAATTAATTTGCCTTCCTTTGTGTCTTTATCCTAGTCTGAGTGATCTAACAGCGATGATTATGTGCCATCAGGTCAATGTTGACCACAGATCTTCTCCAGGATGAGATATAACAGTCACTCATTATTTTAATGTAGGCAGTCCAAGATACTATTTTTTCCTCTCTCTTTCATTTGTTAAAATCCATCTGATGAATATTATAAGGTTCTTGATCTCCCATGTCCCCTGAAATATAGGCAATGTTCCTGCCCTGCTTCATCCAACAGCACCTAAGTTCTTTTGTGCCTCTTCTCCAAGACTCTGAAGAACTGAAATTGTTTGCTTGTTTTGTTTTTCTTTTTTTAATATAGACCCAAGTCCTGCAAGAAACAGACTCCCTATAGGTCTGCTTCCCTTGAAAGACTGAATCAGGTAATAATATCTCCTTTGTTACTGGATCACCAAAACTTTGATCTTTCAAGAAGGTGCCAGGCCATGACAGGAGATAAAAGTCATTCAGAAGTTGTGACTATGACAATTTCCGTGGTTTGTGTATGCCTATTTAGGAATTTTCAATATCACCAGTTCATGCTATTTCCCAGTTCTTAATCCATACAAACAAATCCAATCGTAAACCAATAAATCCCACTAAATTTGTGGGATTACTTTCAAGTAAATGAGTGTAGGACTGCAGCCTACATCAAGCCACAGAAATTAATGTATGAACAAACCAGCCTTAAGTTTTAGTCTAACTGGAAACACTTCAGTTAGCATTTGGAATGAATTTAATTATTGTACATGCCAATAGCATAAGGGTGAACAACGTGTAGCTCACAGACTGTATTATGGACCTCCAGCCCCAGGGAACTGTCAGTTTGCAATCCTCCAAAAAACCCCAAGATTGTGCTGCCAAAATTCAGTGACTAAATGGTCACTTCTGTGACATTTAGCATTAGTTCACTCACATAACAAAATATTGCTAAACTTTTAATTTTTGCTAAAATAAAAGTCAAATGTTTGGTCTTAAATCTCAACCAATACAACGCTTCAAACAGGAAAAACCATTTTGTTTCCACTTATCTTATGACATCACTGCATCACTGGACACATTCCTTATAACCCTTGGAGGCCAGAAGAATAAGAAAAAGTGCATAATATGGATTAATAGAAATAATGGAAGTTATGTTTTAACCTTAGAGTAAGAGCTGGATGTATATCGTTATTTATATCTGTTGTGAGGAGGGTCGGAAGTCAATTCTTTTTTTCCTTTGATTTTTCTCTTCTTTTTCTTGTTTTTTTACACTTTTTAATCTTGTGTATCTCTCATTTCTAATGTTTCTTTCTATATTCTTTTCTCAATATTAGTTTTTATTAGTTTTTATTGTTCTTTTTTTAAAAAAAATTAATAAAGTTATAAATAAAAGAAAAAGTGCCACCTCTCCAGGCTGAGAAAGTGTGCCCGCCTTGGAAATAACACAATAAAACTGCACTGGAGCACATTTCTTTGACATAAATTTTAAAGCAAGGAATGCATTTTATTGAGACGCTTAAAAATGTTCTTCAGGAAAGAGGAAGAGGAGAGGCAAAAGCAGAAGCAGAAGAAGTCTAAAACCAGCTGGAGATAAATAATTGAAAAATAGTTTTTAAAAAATATTGAAAGGGTAAAAGATCCCCTCAAGCTGGACTCTTGGTGACCTCATGGACATACACTGCTCATCTAATTTCTGTGGCAGCAATACAAACCTAGTTTGCCAGTGCTTTCTTGCAGTCCACGGCCTAGCAAGTTCCCTGGTAGAGTCCTTGGGGTTCTCTGAGCTTGGTGGTTGTAACAACCCCAAGGACTCCACAGTTCAACCCTGAGCTACATATATTCTCTTCTATTAGTTCCCTGGTAGTTTCTCATCAAAATCAAGCACCTGGGAAAAAAATCACTGGAAAGGAGCTTTTTAGAAGTAGAGAAGAAGCTGAGATCATAGGAAGAACGCCTACCCTGAAGGAGCTGCTGGAGTACAGCTGCAACTGCACAAAGGGGTCCATGTGAATACTGATATTTTCAGCTAAAAATTCAAGGGACAACACTTTTATGTTCTGCGTGTCTAATGGTTACTCTCCCTGTAAGTTCCAATTACACAACCTGATACCAGGTTGCCATGGTTTCTTGTTTTCAAATTGCTTTACACACACTGGACCATCCACTACGGTATCTAATACCTCAATATCGCTGAGTAGATACATACATACATATCATGCTATTCCCTTTTGGGTGAGCAACGTTATGTAGAAATAGGAAGATAAAGAAATTAGAAGTGTGAGATAAGGGGAAAAATCAGGAAACAAAGCTAGAATCTCAACACTGTTCACTATCTCTCTCCATATTTTTATATCATGATAAAGGACACTCCTTCCTTCTACAGTGTCCTTACACTGCTCCATACATTGCCTATTGTTCTTTAAATGTCTCCCCTCTCTCTTTTTCAGGATCTCAACAACAACATACAACCATGATTTTCTTGGCCTTCCTCTTCTTCACCACTTTACTCTTCCTTGATGTATTAGTTGTGCAATTCAACATCTCTACATGACCGAACCACCTGAAGGTCATTCTTCTGTACTGGCATTTAATTTTGAATTCAATCCAGATTCATTCAGCACCCATTCGTTCTTGGCCCTCTCTGTTCTTATTTGACCACACATTAAGTAACTCATTCTATTGTATTCAACTTATTTTCATGTATCTTCTGACATACTGTACCCAACTCTCACTTCTATATAGCAAAGTAGGCAGAACACACTTATACACAGCCATTTTACAGCTGAAAATAGGGCAAAATGAAAGTGAATTGTGACAGAGAAAGGCACAGGCTAACCGTGTAAACAATTTGAGCAGATTTCTCCTGGCAGAAATGTAATCTATGGAAATATCATCATCTGACCAATTATGGTCTGTTGATACAATGATGTTTTTTATTAATATGGAAGTTTCTTTGCACACACATTGAAGCTGCCTTAGATTGCCAAGTTTTTGATTACAGCCTATATAATGGCCACTCCTGGCTTGTGAGTATCAGGTATTATCCATCCCCTCATCCACAGCCCTCCAAAGCCTTTGCCCGGAGCAGCCTATAAGCTGTGATAGGGAATTGAAATTCCTTGCCTCATTGCAAAGAAAGAAAGAAAAGGTTTAAAATGAAACTGAGTACTTTGGTTACTTCTATTGAATATCCAATATGCTGCCAGCACAGTTACATGGGATCATTTCTAATTCTGCGCTCTAATGGCATGGAAGGATCTTTATGTAGCTACTGATCACCACATGCTGTCCTGATTTTGGTCCCTGAGGCCAGCTGCAATGTGGGGAGGGAGATAGATTCAGGGGGTGGTCAATTCATCTTGGCAGTATGAATTGTGCTAGTGGTCCTAAAGGAGGCGATAGCACATCCACTGGAAAAGGCCTCCATGGATCCAGGGGTTTATGTCAATTACCACCCCATCACAAATATACCCTTTATTCAGCACTTCATTAAACTTTGACTACATGAACTAATATCAATCTGTCTTTCCATCATGTCAATAGAGAGCCAGCTCATCATCAAAAGTGAACACGTTAGTGGTCCAAGATTGAAAATCTGGGGTTGCAACGTCTTCTGTCCTCTTCCTCCTCATGCTCAATATATCCATAATTCATCACGGAATAATGTTCCAAATTTTTTGGTATATAATTCAAAAGTACATTCACACTTTTAAACAATAATGTTCTTTTAAAATTATATTAGCAAACTTATGGATATCAAACTACAACCAGCCATCAGTACAGGAGAAGCCCATACCAAGTTACACTTCCCAGATTACATTCCCAAGAAAAATAAAGTTAACAGCCTATCCTTTTAAACATTTTCTGTGGTGGCTGGTAAATGTGAAAAATAAAATTAATCTGATTTTAAAATCATAAGAAATGGTATTATTCATCAATCTTATCCAGTGGTTTGTTAGTATGAGATGTTTCAAACCTTATTCTAGAATTCTTGCAAATAACTAATATCCATCATGCTTGAATTCTTTTAAATTATTGGAGATAATTATTCCAAGGAAAGTTCTTTTTATTGTGCATGTAAATATGTCATTTTTAAAAATCTTAGTTCAGAATTGGAATGGATGATTAAAATCTCACTGAACTTGTAAACTATGAATGTATAGTGAATGGGCAGGCAAGTCCCCACTTCACATTCATTGAGAACCAGCTGGCACCTAGGTTTGAATCCATATCATTCATAAGGAGAGTTGCTTTTTCTGCACACAACAGGCATATCTCCCAGCCTCTCCCCTCTGCTCTTTTAAAAGTTAGAGAGAGAACTCTAGGGGCTAGAAACTACATTGAGCTTGGGCAGAGATTAGCTTCTTTAAGGAAGAAAAAGAAAAACCTACAAGAAGCTAAAAAAAAAGTCCAAACAATTGCTCTAAAAATCAGATTCTTTTAGTAGAATAAAATCTATCCAGGAACTTGCATTAGA